TTCGCCAAAGTTAGCTGCCTATACAAGCATGTGTGGAAAACAGCCCTGAAAGAACAAGCTTACACTCTCATAACTCCATGTTGTATGAGTTACAGTGTGAACTCTCTGTCAGTTCTATTACTTTACCACTCTCTCTATGCTATTCACAATCAAAATCATGCACAGGCACACACAAACACTGCTACCACACACAACCAATCAGGCATATGTATATGTGTTATGGCCTCTGTTGCTCAGGTGTGTGTGTCTGTGTTTGTATGTGTGTCAGTGGAGCAACGTGTACCTTGAGCTCATTTGCGTTGTGCTGATTTTCCAGGGACAGATGGTCTTTGACTGAAGAGAGCTGCTTACACTCCTGCAGCAGCTTGTTGTTCTTCACTTGCAGCTGCTCCAGCTCCCTGGTGGATCGCTCATTCAAGATCTGTCAAAGTCAGGGAAGGGATTCAGGTGTGTGAGGAAAATCATGTTTATTATCTATGCATGTACGTATGCATGATGTAATGTTATTAACCATGGAATCACATGTACATTGGTTTTACAGTGTTATGGTTAACCATCCTGAATACATTTGATACAAAAGATTCCCAATGTGCCCTTTCGTTCATTTGAGTTTGTAGCTTCATATAATGGCTTAGTGATCTACACATTGAATCTAATTAACATACACACATATATATATATCTATATATATATAGATATATATATAGATATATATATCTATATATATATATCTATACTGTATATGTACACTCACAAATGAAGACAAAAACTCCAGACAGGACACGAGAGGTTATTAAATGGTTTATGGAGTATGAAAATGATGTAAATCATTTAATGCATTATACATTGACCAGATCTCAGATTGAATATCAATATAACAGCAGCTGGTTTCCTAAACAACACATTGTAAAGAGTATGCGTCCCACTACTTTGCTCACCTTTAACTCTTTGAGCTGCTGCTCCAGTCTCTGCTGCTCCTCTTTGGCCCTTTGGCCCTGCAGACTCAGGGCTTTGATGTCCCCCATCTTGGCCTCCATGTCGACGTGCAGCTGCTTCACCTCCTTATCCAGCTTTTCCTTCAACCTCATCTCTCGAGAACTCTCATTCTGTTGTACCTGGAGCTCCTGCTGGAGCTGGATGTAGTCCCACAGAGCAGCAACAAGATGGCACCAGAGCCAGATTTAAATTCACATTCAGCAAAGCAATTTGTATTCCTCCAACATACATTATGGTCATCTGCAGACTCAGTGATGTGGGAACAACATTGTAAAACACAGGTAACATAAGTTGAAGTTACAAATCTGATTATCCTCTACCTCGCCACACGTCTGATTTGCTGTTGCAGAATCTGATATATTTAGTGCAATCTCTTCATGAATGAAAACCTTCACACAGAAAACTCCTTGTGTCTCTACCACCAGTTTGAAAATGTGACATAATCAGACGTACAGTAGAGTGCCACCAATACTGTCTCTGTAAAAAGTCAATCAGAACGCTGCAGCTCGAGTCCTCACTAAGACCAGGAGGGTGGATCACATCACTCCAGTTCTGAGGTCTTTGCACTGGCTTCCTGTCCAACAAAGAATTGACTTTAAAGTCCTGCTGTTGGTTTATAAAGCACTGAATGGTTTAGGGCCAAAACACATCTCTGATCTGCTGCTACCTTATGAACCATCCCGACCCCTTAGGTCGTCTGGGACCGGTTTACTTTCTGTTCCCAGAGTCAGAACTAAACATGGAGAAGCAGCGTTCAGTTGTTCTGCTCCACATATCTGGAACAAAGTCCCAGAAAGCTGCAGGTCTGCTGAGACCCTCAGCTCCTTTAAATCAAGACTGAAGACTTTTCTGTTTGCTGCTGCCTTTAATCTAACCACATTCAAGGATATTAATACATTTCTGCATTTTACTACTGTATTTCATTTCTTACACTGGTTTTCAGTGTTTTAATTGTTTTTAAATCTCCTTTTCTTTTGCCTTATGTTTTGATGCTTTTAATGGTTTTATGTGAAGCACTTTGAATTGCCTTGTTGTTGAAATGTGCTATACAAATAAACTTGCCTTGCCTACAAGAATGTGACACTTGTTTACCTGAGCGATATTCTCTGAGGCACTATCTCGTTGGGCCTCTATCTCCTGCTGGATTGCGATGGCCTTGTTTAGTTTTTCTCTCAGACCCTCCAGGGTTGACAGCAGTTCGTCTCTCTCCATAGTCAACTTCTCATTCGTTTTTAGTAGATTGCTGAAAAAACAGATTACAGTTAGTTCCATCCACACAATAAATGATCAAGAGCATGGGGACAGGAACAAATGGCTCACCTCTGCTCTTGGTCCATAGAGAAGCCGGTTTGTTCTTCAGCCATTTTCATCCGGTTGGCAACTTCTTCTTTTAAATCCCTGATGGTCTCTTTGTCCCTCCTCTCTTTATCATGAGCAGCATCAACCATTTTCCAGCCTTTATCCAGCTCCTACAGTGTAAACAAAGGAACGTTTTAATACAACACTGCTGAGTTCATGGTATCTGAGAAGTCCAGAAGAGGAACAATTATAAACCTTCATGACTTCATTAAATGTAACCTTCTATACCGTACAAACTCCATCAATTTGCATTCCTGGTCCTTTATTTTACACAATACATATATTACATAACCTCCATATTTGAAATCAGCGACATACATGTTCTGGTAATATACCCTCTTTAGTGAAGTAATTGTTGTCTCGTCTTCCTGGGACAGTTTCAGGGCCGCTGCTACTTTAGTTGAGGTGGACACAACTTCTGCATTCAGCTCCCTGCATTTGGACATCAGTCTCTTCTCATTATCTCTGGACTTCTTCAGTGCATGGATGAGCTTCTCGTACTCCACCCGGACCTTGTCCATACTATTGTCCTCTACCAGCTCATTGAGGATCATATGAAACTCCTCCAAGGACTCACACATGTCCTCTCCTGCTGGTCTTGTCTCCTGGAAAATACAGCAGAGCCACAGAGTACAACTTCAAATGAAAGCGGGGAGAAAGTAAGCTTATATGTGAAAGCCTGGGGATGAATAAAGTTTCTATCTATCTATCTATCTATCTGTCTGTCTGTCTGTCTGTCTGTCTGTCTGTCTGTCTGTCTGTCT